AGAATATATAACAAAAATGAATTAGCTCATAATTGGTCAATTTAGTGCTTAGTCATAAGGATTTAAATATATTTAAGCCTCTACTAAGTGATCACATTAATTTTAAGTCTTTTGGAATGTCCATTATGTTAGAGGTCCTTGTAATGCCTAGCTTTGTTTTTGGTTTTTGTTGTCAAAGTCAGGAAAAGAAGAGCAGCTTCAGTGCATCTTCAAGACTTCAACTCATACAATGAAAGGTAACCCTACACAGTCTTAGATTTTTCTGCCAAGATTCCGGACTCTTTTGTGTTCTTGGTCCTTTTTGACAACCATAAAGCTAGCACTATTATAGGACTAATTATCAATTTAGCTTTGCCAGGACTTAGGATTCCGTGATTAACAGCATAACCAAGTGATTAGCTTGTGTAAACCAGCTATCATAGATAATGGAATTAAAGTGAAATAGAAACAAAAAACAAAACAAAAAAAAAAAGAAAAAGAAAAGAGAACGAGATCAACATAAATGAAAGGGAATCAACTTGTGCGATTTTACATGAGCTTTTGTACAGGACTTCATATACTAATTCGGAGTTTTCATTGTATGTGTTAACAACAAAATAATCATAATCATTAAATATGTGTGCAACCCAAGAAATAATAATTATAATAACAATAATAATATTGATAAGAAACAATACTAATGATAATATACAAATCTAACGATTCCCATTTGTCTCTTTTTTTTTTACCTTATCTACTATGTATTTTCTCATACATACACACGTATATACGTATAGATATGTACGTATACATTTTCACACTCACATATACACATATATAAATATATTATATATTTCTTTGGAGGGTACTTGTTTGTGATTGAATGATGGTTGTTTGAAGAAGTGGGACAGTGACCCCTCGTTCTTTTGCTTTCTTGCCTCCTCTTTTACATTTCCACCCTCTCTCCTTTTGCTTTCTTGCCTCCCTTCCCTTCACACGCGCGCACGCTTAAGCTTCACGCACAACATGCATTATTGGACGAAGATAGTGTCGTTTTTGCTCCCTGCCCCTGGCCTTGAAGCCCCATATACGTGTGTCAGTGTATATATATGGAAAAATTTCATATTAGTATCTTGTGCGTAATTATACATTATGTTTTTAGTAATTTTAAATTGATACCTTCACCTTTTAAAAAATTAGTATTTTGAGGTTATCTTTTAGGAGGTAAAATGTTAAATTTTTAATTTAAAACATTATTTTTATTTTTAATTTTTAAATGTTTAAATAAAATTTTCAGAATTTTTCTAAATTTATTGTTATATTTTTGGTTAATTAATGAGAAGAGCAATTTTGATATTTTACATTTCAAAAAATATAAGATGCTAACAAATGACTTTTTAAAACGTTGAGATACTAATTTAAAATTATTAAAAATACAAAATATTAAAAAACAATTATATTAAAACATAGAGTATCAATATAAAATTTTCCATATATATGTATGTATAGTTGAGCCTCATATTATCTCAAATCTCAATGAATGGTAGGACAGGCCTTGAGTTCTCACTTTCAATGTGGAAGATTCTATAGTGTGAACAAGCAACTATGATCTATCAATTTAAGTAGGAACCGTAAGCTCCTAATCAGACTAAAAAGGACCTGCAATCTTATGAATCATGAACTCTTATAAATGCTGGTACATTTAGAGTAATATTGATAAATACCCTTTAAAAGTGTATAAGTCAGAATTTTTACTCTTTATTTTAAATTCATAACCTTTTTAGTCAAATAATTACGCCAACAAATATATCGAGAGTAAAAGGTAAAAGTTCAGACTCATGCACTCTAAAAGGTAAATTCTTCATTTTTTCGTACATATAAGATGCATTTACCAAATCGTAAAAAAATAAAATGAAAAAGATAATGAAATTAGAAAGAAAAATCTAATTCACGTACTATTGTTATCTAAACCGAGAATAGGAATTTTATCAATGTCATTTACTAAATTGTCTTTTTATATAACTAAATAATCATTGGCTCATAGCTAATTATTAAAGTTATACTAGTAAATTTTGTATTCATTTCCTTTAATTAAGAATCAATATTTAAGAAAATTTTGGGGCACTATTGGTGCAACGTACCACAACTAATAGAAGATGTGTCTCATCTGTACAGTGCATATATACAACTTTAAAGAAGCAAACTACTATAACCCTTCATTCATGTAATTGCTACGCAGATCAAAATAATGAAAGAAAATACATTTTTATCTGCTTATGAATTGAGGGGATAGAAAAGAATCATATTTTTTCAACAACAAAAAAAAAAAGGCATAATGTCGTAGAAGAACATAAAATAAGGCTGTTGGAATTAATAAACAGACACATACAGCAGAAAAATTGAATAATATTCAATGCCAATTTCTAAATAATTATATCACATACGTGAACGTTGAAAATTTATTTAGCAAGCTGTCCAATTGCTATGGTTCTTTTGGTTAAGGTTATTTAGTTGCCAACGACACATTACACTACCAAACACATTAGGATTTTATGAATGTCCTTAAGCAGTGAAAACGTGAAGAAATTAAATTTAAGGATCAAAATACCTGAAAAAAAAAAAAAAACAGAGAGAAAGAAAAAAGGAATTATAGAGAGAACACTTCCAACTTGGGATCTTCACTAATTTTGTGAATGGAACGGAGGAGACAATGAATCAAAATTTTGCTGAGCAGGGGGTCCGTTCTTTTCGCTGATTCGAGTTTTGCTACAGTAAAAAGTTCTCATAAACAATCACATCTAATTTTTTTGTTACAGTAAAAAGCTCTCACACAACATCACATCTCAACTCGAATTAGCGAACCGAACGAGAAAGTTCAAAAAGTTTCTATTGTGAGGTCCGATTTCTCTTGTACTTTGACCTCTTTATTTCCCCCCCCCCCCCTTTTTTTTTTGGCCTTTGTTGGATATTCTCTTCTCTATGTCATTGATTATTGAAAGATGAGTGTATAAACCAATTTTGGCGTTATGATATCACGTGTGGGATAAAGCTGTCCCCAGACAATCACAAAAGAAGGAAATTGCATTTACAAATGAAGACCAGATAATTCAAATGAAGGGATTAAAACTGGCCCTGCGAACTTTTTCTACTAGATTCTCTTTTTTGTTTTGTTTTTTGTTTTTTTTTCTGCGCTTTTCACTGCCCCAATTGAGGGACATTTATCTTTTCAAAAACAAAAAGAAAAAGAAAAGAAAATAAGTCTAGGGACATTAGCTATAGTAATACTCATTCATACACATTTTGTGGTCTTAAACGACTTGGTACCTTACTTATTTTTTTTTTTATTGGGACTCGTATCTTTACGTTTACAATGCACGTATAAAGGAAAAGAAATGGCTGTTTTTGTCGTTCGTAAGAATACAGTAAGGGAAACAGATAAAATTTGGTTTTTTTGTATTATGGTTTATGTATGATGATAATCAATTATTTTTGAAGAACTTGACCGAAGAAGCAAAGTGCTCATATTGTTACAAGAATCTTCCAAACTAGTAGAACTCAAATTTAGTTACACAAATGAATTAAAAAACAAAAAAAAAACAAAAAAAAAAAAAAAACCAACCAGCCAAAGAGGAAAGAGAGAGAGAGAGAGAGAAACGACAACATATGTAGCGAAATAAGCACAAGTACTATTGCGTGAAACTGGCTTATTAACGCTCAAAATTAATACACAATTGTACTAATTCGAACAAAATAGTAAAACAGAAAAATCTAATTCACTTATAAAAAGATATAACTGCATACGATCCACATAACAGCACTAAGAAATCATTTTTTTATAAAAAAAAATGCCTTATCAGTCCTCGATGTTTCTTATTTATTTAGATTAAGAGTGGGAAATTTGAACCCTAGATCTCGACATGTATAAGGGTGAGAATTTACATATGGGCTAAGCTTGTTACCACTATTTCTTGATAGATATTCCTAGGATTCCATTGTATTTACCTATTCTTTTATTCTAATAAAATTATAATATTATTTGATATTCGAGAATACCATAGAAATTCAACAAGGACAATATCGCTGTTGTTGCACAAACGAAAGATACTCAAGCGAGTGTCATGTACTCGTAGAGCAATTTCTACATTTTTTTTCTTATCTTTACTCGATTTCGGATCCTGCTCAAAGAACACTAGAATTTGTCCATCAGAAAGATGAATTGAATCAGTCAGGCTTTGGAAAAAAAAAAAAAAAAAAAAGAATCCGCCAGAAGAAAGCACAGCCCAATCGTATTTGAAGCTTATTGTAGAACGACAAGTTCAATCGAATATGAATTGAAAGATGCATATATGGCCGGAACAAGATTCAGAATTGACACACAAACTCCTACAAGTATTTATTTGGGGCATCAATTATATCTCAACCAAACAGCATATACAAAATAAAATAAAAATTTTTTCGTTCAAAAAAATATTATTTCATACCTATATCACAATTATTATTATCATTATTTATTTTATTATTATTATTATTATCATTATCATCATTATTATCATCATCATTATTATTATTATATTATTATTATTACTACCTACTTAATAATTGAGATGTTACACGAGAACGACGGAAGGTAAAGTGAGAACATCAAGTTGGATTTTTAACACAATTATGATTTAGTAAATTACTCCGTAAATTTTTTGACAATCAACTCACAAACTTATAAAATTATTACAATACCTTCTTTTACTGAATTTACTCAAAATTTTTATTAGAATTTAAAAGAATAATAGTTGAAGAAATTAAATAAGAAATTTAAAAATTTGTGTTACATTTAAATTCAGATGTTAAAATTTTTAATCGAATGTGTTTTTTAAATACTAATTTAACACAATCATCATCAAAATGAGACGTACCGCAACAATTTTATAAGTTAAAAAGGACAATTGCTAAAATTAAAAGTTCAGAGGCAAATTGCTAAAGCCATATAAATTCAAGAGGCAAATGTGTAAAATACCCAAATCAAGTTTAAAGTAAAAAAAGAGTCCAGTCCATGAATAAGAATTCCTTTACATCCGTAGGTAAAACTTCTTTTTGTGTGTGTGCAAGTGAGACAAATACAGAGACAAGGCGAGATAAGAAATTACATTTTAAAAAAAAGAAAAAGAAAAAAGAAAAAGAAAAAGAAAAAGAAAAGAATAGAATCGTATGAACTAGCAGCTACTCATTGCTTTTACACCAAACACATGTTCGTTCTTACTCAAAACTCTCATGGCCAAATTCCAAAATCCATCCCTTCTATACTAACACCACCAACTGCACTCAAAACCAATTTCACTGCGTAGATTACACTTTTTTCCAAATGTTCGAATACTGTCATTACAGCAGGCCTGTGCTTCCAAATGGGTTTTTTTGTTGTTGATGAGGACCCGGATTTGCAGGAAATGCCCCAAATCCCGCATCACCGAAAGGGTTTGCTGGGCTCATTAACAAATGCTGCTGCGGCTGAGGCTGCATTTGCGGTTGGAAGGTAGGTTGGTAAGGACCAAAGGGATTGGCCTGCTGTTGAGCCAATGCTGCCATTTGAACTGGAGGAGGAGGAGCAACACCGTTTGACATAGCGAATGGATCTTGAACCTCAAATGGATTCGGGGCTGGTGCTCCATAAACTGGCTGCTGTGAAGCTCTGTATGCTGCTTCATCATACAAACTGTTTAGAGTGAGAGAGTCCAATCCACCGGCCTGTAATCGAAGGGAAAGTTGTAAGTTACGGTATTTTTAAGAGGGAATACATGCTTCCCCCAGCGCATATGCCTCCTTTTTTCTTGTTTATATGCTGCTTTGCTGTGTATCATAATATGTGAGTTGTAACAGGCACTTTTATTGTTATTGTATTAATATTGTCCAACTGTCTAACTCCAAACCACACGCAGGGAAATTATAATTAACTTAGGATACAGTATAGAAAAAGATGATATAAAGAACAATAAATGATAAAGAAATAAAATTTGAAATCAGCACAAAAAGGACGTACCAATTGTCTATCAGTAGGTGTGGAAATATTGGTACTTGGAGTGCTGACTAGAGCAAGTTCCCATCCAGTGGGATCAAAATCTTTTGCTTCAATGGCACTAGAATTGAATGTAGGAGCCGCATCTGCAAAATATGAAATGTCATTTTAAGCCACCATACAAAACAAATGTAGCATAACTGGGAAAGTGAAGGCATATGTTAGTTACTCGTTTCGGAAGGTACGATGGCCAGAGCCAACGCATTTCTCTCCTCAATTGCGGATACATCAGGAACATCATAACTTAAACCCTGATCCCACAGAAGGGAAATATTTGTCATGAGAAAGGACAAAATAAGAAAGTAACAGAATAAATGTGGTAAAGCAAAACAAGAGCAATAAGAGCTCTGAACTGATAATTTACCAGTAAATCTCCAGTATCTATGCTTCTTTGAGGAGGTGGAGATGGTGGCAATGGTGTTTCAGGTTCAACATTAGACACATTTTCTGAAGGTGGTGCCACAGGTTCTTCACTGGGTAATTGGGTTTCTTCAGAAGAACCTTCGTCTGGTCTATATGTTAATTGAAGCTGCTCACAATGAACACATCATAATTAATCTCTGTAATTCCTAAGGCAATATATATTGTATATAAGTTGAATAGCAATTGTTTTCAGGGAGAAAGGAGAGAAACTCACCAATGGTTCAGTTGGAACAGTAACCACCCGAGGTGCCTCTCTTATGTACTCTTCCATCGTATTAAGAAAGGATTGAGGAGGCTGGATAAGCATAGAGAAAGTGCTAAGTTTGCTGAGTTGGATTATTGACAAAAAAGAGAATCACACAAACAAACCAAAACATTAATCAATGTAGTACCTCTCTTAAAACAGGAAACTGGAAATTCCTAGCAAGTTCCAATCCTTTGCAAACCTCATAGAAATCGGATAGGCTTGCAGCCTGCGGCAAAGGTCCAATGGTTTCTTCTTCAGTAAAACAACTAAGAGTAACTAATCTTAGCTTTCAAATGTCACACCAACCAAATAAATGAACTAAACCAAAACTCTTTCCTATTTATGAAAAATAGCACGAGCCAAGCATAAGCTAAAAGGTGAGTATTGGTTCCATTTCATCACCTGCTGACCAGCTCGTTTATAGATATCAAGGGCTTTAATAGCTTCATGTCTTGGCATCTCAAAAAACTGCAAACAGAGATATTACTTGCAGCAAGAAAATTTAGAACAAGAATAGAATTTTGTAAAAAATTATGTAACCCTCTTTCAAATAATAATATGCATTTACCTTGTCCACAAGATTGATTATTCCATCATTTACAGAACAATAAATTTTAAAGCTCTCTTTAAGTACCTGAAAAATCAACATCAATGAAATTATGAATAAGTTCTAATAAGTTCTTATGTTTTACTTGTTAAAGTTCTCCTTGGCACAGCAACATACAAAAAGAAAGATTACTACAAGAAAATGATAAAGAAACCTTGCAAATTACAAGTTATTGTTATTTATATTCCGTACACTAGTCAAGAAACCTTGAAATGCAGAAGAAAAATTCTTATCAAACTAAACCCTAAGCACTTAAAATTTACATCTTTTTTTTTTTCCTAATAGAAAGAGAACAGCCTTGAAAATAATTTTGAAAAGAAAACTTCCAATGCGTTAAAAAGCAAATAAACTAAAAAGGAGATTTGGAAAGTACCAGAGCAAGGGCATACTGTATAACATAATTGCCGACAGCCGCTCCTTCTGGCTGTAAAGTAAAGAATGCAACATCAACTGCCTTTGCACCAATACTAACAGCATATAAACTAATGATTCTTGAAGACAGAATACAGATTGAATGCAAATATTTAGGTGAACAATGGGAATCCAAAGGTCAAATTCTTACCCGGCAACTAATGAGACGATAGAGCAGCTGCTGTAAAGCAGGCAACTGCTCCAACAGTTCTTCACTGTCCAGCTCTCTAGTTCTACTGTATCCCTGCCAGTACAAAAAATAAAATAAAATAAAATAAAACTAAAAAGAGTATAGATTTTGAGTCCTCAGAACAATAGCCAGCAGAGTCCAATATATTAAACCGAACCCAAATCTACAAATCCAAACTGAATCCTATTATTCATCTGATGGCACATGAAAACAAAAATTGGTTTAGTCAGCAGACGACACTTTCCATATACATATGTAAGAATAGGTGGCCAATATATTATTAAATTTCTCCTTAAGAGGCTGAGGCTTACAGCATCGAAAGAAAATCTCTCATATTCACCCTTAGCTCCAACAATAATTTTATGTGTACCCACACATGATGTTTAGCACATACTCAAAGCCAAACTAATAACCGACCAGTTCTATCCACAAAAGCCGAAGAGTACATCTACATCCACATTGCCTTTCAGGCCGCACCTTGGTGGGACAGTACTGAGTATATGCCTCTTTCATGTACTAAACATCCATGTATTATAGTTATGCTATTGTGCTGCTTTTGCACAGACAAGTACAAGTAATACAACATTATACCTTCTCCTGCCCTTGAGCAGGCCTTGGTAGACGCTCCGCTTCAATATCATATTTCAAAATCCTAAAGCACTCAAGTCGTTCCTCCAAAAACAACGCATAAGTACGAACCCAAGCAGAGCAATCCCAAGCTGAAAAGAGAGATGACCGAAACAGGTCACGACCACAATTTAAAACCACTTACTACCCACATAGGAAAATCTTCGTAGAGTATGTATACATATGATATTGTGTCGACAAACACAATGAGTTTCTTCAATTCTGTTTTAATACGTACTTAATATGGCCAAAGGAGTATAATTGATTAAATGGAATAGATATCAGGATATCAAAATTAACCAATGGGGCTTGAATCATCCTTGAAATTGGAAAGCTGAAGAATATGTCCTTTCTGTGAGTAATTCAGAAATTCCTCTCTGAAAGTAGGGTCACCCTCCCTCAATGTCCTGTGAATTACTATTAAAGTTTTCAATGCCACCTGCCAAATGACAGAAGACATTGTAATATAAATTTAAAAAGCAAATAACCAGAAATTTATATCTACTAAAATAGGTCTAGTAGAAAAGTAAAGCCGTTGGTTAGAAATGCTGAAACATACTATGCAATTGCCCTTTTTTTTTGTGCGAAGAAGAAACCTAATACATATACAAACACAACAAAATGATGAACAGACAACCACAAGCCTCCAAGAACGTTTAACATTTACATTAATAAACATCAAATGAAAGGGCAGGAGAAACAACCCTTTACATAACAAGGTCATACAAAGGGAAAGAAACAATAAGTGAACAACCACTCTGAAAAACCAACTGTCACATCAAAAGCGAGTGAAATTTCTACACAGCCAATCCAAAATCATCCTGGCTTCGGCAGCCAACTGTTCCCCAACTCTTACAACCCCACAGCACAAAATGAGAAAAAATATATTATATAGCATCTACAATCCACCCCCACGATAAAGAGGAAGAAAGATCAACAAAAAAGAATATAAACTCCAAATCCATCTCACATAATTAATAATTGCTTCTAAAATTAGCTTACAAATTTCTCACGAAGTGTTTATCAAGCAATAAGCTGAACAACTTCAAACAAAACACACAAAGATTCTACTAGTTCCAAAATCTCCAAGTGAAACCACTTATTTTGTAATAGTGACATGATGACAATGGCAAGGTATTAACTATTCAAAGCCCATCAAATTCTTCCAAACACAAGTTAAAAAGACATAATCACCAAGCTCCAAACAAAAAGATCCAAAACAAACAGAATAAAAAAAAAAAAAGAAAAAACAAACTATTACTCATAACAACCTCAAATATTGGAGTTATCTACATGACAATCAAAGCCTTAAGCAAATAGAAGATTCCAAGCATACCGTCCAATTGTGGGTCTTGGCCAATCTTCTCGAAAGCGCACGAATGCAATAAGCAACATCTGCTCGTGGCCTGACTGCTGACGTGGCAATCAGAATTTCTGCAAAAGAAAAAAAAACCCCTCAAAATTTCAAATCTTTTGCCCCAAATTCATCGACCCAGAAAGCCAAAATTGGAGGAGAAAATCGATCTGTGAATAGAAATTGAAGAGACTCACTTCTGAGGTGTCTCTCTTTGGGAGGGCATTCGACGTGGTTCGTGGCTTTGACTATGGCAACATCCAAATCCTATTCTTAGAAAACCCAAACCGAAAAAAAAACCCACAAAAAAATCAAATAATTGATAAACCGCCACAAAAGATAAATCGAAATCGGATCCAAGAAAAGATTGCGATGAAATTATTAAAAACCTAAACGATTAATTTAATCCGAAAATTCAAAAAAAAATGAAATTTGGTACCGCGTAATCGCTGTTGACGTGGGCGAGTCCGACTTTGGTGGAGTCCTTGAGAGCACCATACGCTTTTCGCCATGTCTGAAGCGTACCCATTTTCTAAGCACTACTGATGCACCTTCTGATCTCTCTCTCTCTCTCTAGAAAAATGGTGATACGTGGGTTTCGGCCCTTGAATCTCTCACGCTGGCTCTCCGATGGTTGGGGAAGAGAGAGAGGGGGGGAAGAAAGAGAAAATAATTTCGATGGAAAATGAGTAACAGAGACCGCGAAGCAAAGTAAAAAAAGGGGGAGATTTGGGCCTCTGCTTTGCCGTTGTTGCCTTGGTGATTGACGGTGTAAATTGCAATTCTTTTTTTTTTTTTTTTCCTTTTTTCATATATTTTTTTTTTTTTTCTTTTTTTTTTTTTTTTTTTTTTTCCTTTTTTCATATATTTTATTTATTATTCTCTTTTTGTATTTATTATTTATTTATATATTTATTTGGCCAAGAGAATAATTCTAATCTTGTTGGCTTTCGGTTCTATGGCGTCGTCATTATTGTTTGACACTGTTGTTATGGTAAGGCCGCATATTTTACCCTCCATTCAAGCAAAGAATAAAAAAAAATATAATATCAAAGTCTTAAGTCTGCGTCTACATAATTTGACAAAGGTAACGTTTTTTTTTTTGTATTTTCGTGTAATGACATCATAATATTCAGCTTATTTAAATATAACATTTAAAGTTATATGTATTAAACTATATTTTTTAAATACTGTACTTAAACAAAATGAGTGTTACACATGTGAACGAACGACCATACACAACAATTTAAAAAGGATTACCTTAATTATACTGGTTTAGATGTGGATTTAAGACATTTCCTATATGAAAAATTCTTAAAAAAAAGTTATTATTATTATAAGATTAATAAATCTCGGTAGAAAATGGTTATGATATACATTTAAAAAAAAAAGAAAAAAGAAAATTAGAGAGCCATATTTGGCTCCGAGAAAAATGTTTAAAAGTAACCAACAAGTAGACAACGAGAAAACACGAAAGGCCAAAAAGGACCTAATCAAAGTCAAACACAGGCGTTCGCACTGATTTCACAAATTCTACTAGTAGCAAAAAAAGATTACACAAATTCTTACATATGAAACCGAATTAGCTTTTTTCTTTTTTTTGTCCACCTTAGTTACAAATTGTCGCTTTCCTATTTTCTTGGGGGCAAATATACACGTATATATCGGTTTCTTATTCTGGAAATGGAAAAATGTAACACTTTTTTTAAAACTGATACTATTGGTCATTCCTTATGCTTAACAAGTTTCGACAATCAAAAATTGAAGAGGCACACTAAATTTCAATCGCATAAATGACTCTTTTAATAATACTTCCACAATTAATTAGTACTTTAGATTGATTGAGATCAAAATACCTATAACATTAAAGTAAAACACTACACCACATAAAAATAAATCTAGTGCAATATGCCACAAAAACAAAACTAGTGCAATATAATTTTGACAAACAATTGGCGGGAAAACAAATCCCCTATATGGAAACAAAATAAAGCCTAAACTACATGCAAGATCCCAAGACACTAGGAGAAGCCTCGAACGACACCACCAGCTTCCGTGGTCAACAAGAATCGAGTGAATACCACACCAAGGGAGTAGAGAGACCATGCCCGAAACATTATCGAAGCATTATCAAATTGATGCATGTATGCGACTGAGTCGATGGGCACCACCTCGAGCAACACGGTGCTAAAGTGACCAAAACCCTGGAGAAGTAGGAGCTCTAGCACCACTGAGTCAACGGACGGGATCGCTTCCACCCATTTTTAAGGACACAACAAAAGCCAACCCCCCCAATGAATACATCCACTTTTATCACCATTAACAAAGCCCTCCTAGGCCTCAAGATCCCACTGCTAGGGCTACAAATTTAGTTGCCAGCCTAGAGGCGCCAAGGATGCCCCTAGGGACCAAGAAGAGGAACAATGCAAGAAGAAAAAGGGGCACAAATGCCATGTTTGAAATTGATTCCGTTTTTATTTTTCACGTTTTCTGAGAAAAAAAAAATAAAAACGTTTCTAAAACGACGTTTGGCGCAATAAAGAAAAAAAACGAAAATGAAAACGATCTTTTGGTTTAGTGTAAAATGAGAGAGAAATGAAAAACGACTTTTAGTCGTTTTTTATTTTTTATTTTTATTTTCTCCTCTCTCGAGCAGAGGGAGAGAGAGAGACATTAATGAGTTTTTTTATACTGAAAATAATTTCTTAAAAAAATTATCAAACACATTTTTAAAAATGATTTATGTCTGAGATTGAAAACGTTTTCATTTTTATTTTTATACAAAAAATAAAATTATTTTAAAACGAGTTCTAAATATACCCAAAAGAAACTCCGAAAGAAAGGAACAGCGCTTCATTATCATTATATTTTTTGTTTATGAGGAAACAAAGAATTCTTTTACATCATATCTGCATGCTAGAGAAGCATATGTTATTGACACGTGTTTCTATTACACAAGTCCGAACTATTGCATAAATGTTTGATTCTTCCGCTTTAGGTACTGGAATGATTGAATTTCGTAATACATAAGAAGACAAGCATTTGTTATAATGTGAATTTGCATGTGCATTGATTATAAGATATGCTTATAGTTGTAATATGAAGCCATTTTGCTATGGTGCTTATGAGTTACCATTCAAGGGCCATATTATGTACAATTTATGCATTTCTGTCGTCTCTTTAATGAGCAGAAACTTATTTATTAAATCAAAGTGTAATTATGAGTGTATAGTTCCATAAATTTTCAAGTGGTTGCTTTCTTTTTCAGTAAGTGCAATTATTCGTTTTAGACATATTTGGTGCATTGTATTGTATCGTATAATATTGTAGTATATTATATAATTTTTATACGAAATGGTGTTTGGTTTGTAGTAAATGACATTATATTATCTTTACCATCATATTGTATTTACGTATTAGTTTGTAATTGAATAAAATTTAAGTCTAATCATAACATAACTTGACTCAAATCTCAATCCAAACTCAACATTGGGAGCGGGCAATGAAAAATGTAGAGTTGTTCAACATGGGTATTTTTACACACACACACACAAAATTTTAAAATGGGTCAAATTGTAATTTTTAAAAATTGAGGGGTGAAATTATAATTTAGAAAAAACTTTGAGGTCAAAATATAATTTTTAAATTTGAGGGATTAAAATATAATTTTTACAAAATTAAGGGGTCAAAGTGTAATTTTTTTAAAATATAGACCTAACATCGACTCGATCCCAAAATCTCATCTCGACTCTTAATATTTGTAAAATATTTTATATGTTTATAAAGTTAAATGCATAATATGATCTAATACATAGGTTTTTATTTGTATTAGATATCACACTATATATTGTATTAAATTTGAATTTCGTATTAAATTATATAATATATAAAAGACAATGCGCTCCTGGCTATCTCGAAATTCTCTAAGAAAGGAGGAAGCTAGTAAGTAAAGGCCCTCGCTTTATTGATCGTGGGATATCATTGAGAAATAGGAAGAAGTGTTATCGAACTCCTGCAATTCTTCCCAGTATGGAATGAGTAAAGAATCAAGCTACAAGTCTCGATCTATACAAAACGCACTGGGTTTTTGTCTTTCTTTCGGTTTCATTGATAGCAGAAGAGCCTTACTCTATAGGGGCGCTAGCGCTTTACTAATATAATCTAAAGTAAAGGGGCCTGAAAAACGTAATAGGCTGCTACTCTAGGCTCCCCTCGCTTTTTCAAGCTCCGCCCCTTATTGAAAACTAAAGCGCTAACGCGCCTTATATTATTTAGTAAAGCAACCTTTCGCGCTAGGCGCTCACGCTTTTTGTCTGGGTGGAAGCTGGCGGCAGGGCTTGCTTAACCGGATACACGGAATTGGGATCTCTCTCGCATGCAACTATTTCTATCGGGAAAGCCTCGCTTATTCAAAGGGCGGATTTGATTAGACAACGTTCAAACTTTGTTTGGAAGTAAGAAATGGTTTATGTTTGTCGTAGCCAATCCTGTTGGCGCTTTGAACTGAAGGATGAACGAATGCCCTCATCTAGGCGATAGGAGAAATGTTGGAACGCATTACAATAGGTCCGAAGTCATATCTAGTCCAAATCGATTTCTTTAGGGATCGAAAAATGTTGCTTCTCACAATCCCAGGGGAAGGATGTCTTAACCATACGGGTCAGAGTCGCCGTCTTGGTCTAGAAGTAAAGCTCGTCCTGACCCGTGAACGGCCTTAGAAAAAGGTCTTTTTTGGGTGACGACATAAGGTTTGACGAGCATTCTCGGGTGGTAGAATGGGGTTGGGACTATTGAAACTGTCGATCTCCAACTTGATGGTGGGCGGGAGATAGATAAGGCCTGCAAGGGCATTATATTATTCTTAAATAATACAATACGAAGTGCTTATACAATATGCCATTACAATCAATTTTTTCTTAAAAACTTATACAGCACATTGTTTTGCTTATTGGTAGATTAAGTTTATTTAGCTATTTGATTAATTTTTAATAGTTAAATTTTAATGGTGTCATCTATGAATGTTTACATTAAAAATAATACAAGCATAAAAATGCTCTCATTTATAAATCAGACCGTTCAAATTTAAAAATCTAAAGTGATTATCACCTATTGTTATACTAGTCGCAATTTTTACAGGGGAAAAAAAAAGAATTAAATAATCATACAAGCTTGAAGATAAACAGAGTTTTAACCCAAAAGAAAAAGAAAAAAGAATGAATCAATGAATGGGTGACAAAATATACATAAAGGCCCAAGGACGATTAGGAATTAGGTGCACGTGCAATTACATAATTTTTTGATCCATTTTTGCTTTTCCAGCAAATTGTCAGCTTTGCTTTCACAATCCAGATTGATAATCCTATAAATAAATTCGCCCCCACAAGATTAGCAATAAAGAAAAATAATAAATAAAGTTGTTCACATGGTTCGAAAGATTCTAAGGATGTGTTTAGTTGGGGAAAGGGAAAGAATAAAATGGAATGAAATCTAAGTCTAATATTTAGTTTGATTTATAAAAAAAAGTCATTCATTTATTTTGAGTGAATAATCATTATTTTTTTACATGGGAAGAATGGTCATTTCATGCACTTTTCTTCATTTTTTTTTTCCAATAACTGCTCTTGAATATTATAATATAAGTACAATATATTATATAGTAGTTATTGTTATACTAAAATTTTTCACAAGTCTAACGTGGCATTACATGTAGACTACTTCAAAACTCAAAACTTAAAATTGAGCTTGGTACATTAAACTGGGTAAGATAAACCTAGTATGTTAAGTGAGGTAACTGAGAACAAATA